AAATATGTAAACAGATATAATGCCTGCCAGTGTGGCAATATGGAGGTGATCTAGGTGTTGCTATATATCTGTAAATATTTATACTATTCTCACTGTTATTCTATGGGAACAATTTATAATCTACGTTTTATTCACAGTGTTGATGCATCTTTTCTTTGTGACTTTCACTAAGCAATTTAATTTTGCTGTGCCTCTGCTTGCACTCATGTAACGCAGATAAGAATTCTGCTCTACCACATGGGGTTGTTATGACATTTAATGCATTAGTATCTTTAAAGTAGTTTGAAATCCTCTGTTGGAAAGCATGATAGAAAACCAAAGTATTAATATAACATCTGAAGTTCAGTCAAACAATATTTGGGATTTGCTTGGTAATAAGAACAATTTCTTTCCAGAAAGTAGAATAAATTGGGTTTGTGTTTCAAAGGAAAGCAAGCAACAACAAAAAAAACATTTAGATTTGGAAATGGAAACCATACATCTTGGAAGATCTTACAGCTGGGGAATAACCAAGGAGGAGAAATTGGGAAAAATTCATGGTTTTGTGTCCATTTGTTGGTATTTGTTTCTCACCCAGGTCTACTTTTATGGAATTAATAGCCACTGTGCACTGATGTTCATCAAAGATTGCTCAATAAACAATTTATTTGAACATATAATAACAGCAGCAGCTGCCAACTATAGCACCTCAGCTAGACAAAAAGTCTGATTTCAGGTGCAAAAATGTTGTGCAGATTCAGTTTCCAAGACACCCATTAAACAAAATGTCAATTATCCACTGTGACATTTTTGCTGTTCCATCAAAATGATGTCATCCCAACTAGGGGTGTACGAAGCGGTCCCTATTCGATTTGGATTCGGCCCGAATCAGGGACAGTGATTCGATTAATTGATTTGGATCACTGTCCCTGATTCGAGTCGACCGAATCTGAAGATTCAATGATGTTTCAGAGAATCAGCAATTCAGCCACAGATACAGCTTTAAATTTTTTTCTACATACCTCGAAGTACCAGCACAGCTTGTGAATGCTGCGATGCTGGGGTGCATGGAGCGTCCCACAGGAGGCCGGCCCTCTACGTGCTTGGCGGCAAACCCAGAAGTAGACCAGAAGTATTTCCGGTCCACTTCCAGGTCCACCAGGGAGTGTGCTTGGGGAGCCCCCCAGTGCCCTCCCAGCTCAGTGATCAGCCACAGGGGGGCCCCAGGGACCCCCTCAGACCCAAGAGGCACCAGTCCCTGAGCCAAAGGACTGGTTACAGGGGGCGTTACAGGGGGGGGCCCTCAGTGCACTCCCTGGCGGACCCAGAAGTGCTTCTAGTCCACTTCCAGGTCTGCTGCTGAGTGCGCTGGGGAGCACCCCGCACTCCTGTGGGACACTCCATGTGCCCCAGCATCACAGCACTCATGAGCCACCTGGTACCTAGAAGTGTGTAGAAAAAACATTTAAAGCTGTTTCTATGTCCGAATCTCCGAATCTCTCCAGATTGATTTGGAGGGTTCCAATTAGAATTGGAGAGATTAAAGGGTCCTCTGATCCGATTTGGATTTGGAGATTCGGCCACTGAATCGGGCCAAATCTCTGCCAAATCGAATCAGGGACCAAAGCTTTGCACAGTCCTAATCCCAACCCCTTTCAGTCATTGCATCACAAAGGAACATCAAAATGAGACAAATGGAAGATGAGCATGGACAAAGATTATTGGCAGTAAGGAATTTACACCACATGATTTCAAAGAAACCAACCAAATACTTACAAAGTGCCCATTGGCTACTAAGCAAGCTAACTTATTTGATTCAAGACTGCATGTGAAGAAGAAAGAAAAATCTTAGAACATCTGAAAATAACAACCCCAGAACCCAAAATTTTTCAAGAAACATCAAACCCTTGATGCTAACATGAATCTTTCTTGTGATCAGATAATACCTGACTTACATGTACAACTGCTAAAAAGCAGTGCATCTGTTGATACCTAGCTTTGGACTCCCCACTAACTAATTAGAGAGACTCAGAAATCTTGAACAATCTCAAAAACATTGACACACAACTGAGATGTGGTTTTCATTTCTCTAATGGTTTTGTTGCAGATCATGACCTGCAAATAACTGAACATAAAAAACCCTTAGTTAAGTTCACTATTAAATGGGGTTGACAAATATTTGTTCCTTAAAAGTGTTTCTATAGTGTCTAATAAAGATATCATAAGTAATAATTTACTGCATTTTCAAAATATCTTAGGACCACTGGTAATACTGAGGGATTTCTAGGACTCATTTTAAGGTGGTTTACCTGGAAACTTCACTTGAGCAAGACACAGCTTAAGTATGTTCCCATCTATGACTGAAAATATACTACCTTTTCCATTGACAAATGGTTAAAAAAATAGTGCAAAAAGACTGAAACACTCCTAACTGTAAGAACATTGTGGAGTAAAAGTTAGTTTTCTGACACTGTGGATTAGGAATGGTCATGCCTTAGACAGCAATCATAGCAGATCTAATCCAACATAGGCTCTCCTGCCCCTGTTCCTACTCTATCTAGTAGGGGTCACCTTCATCATGAGGTGCCTCACTAGAACTGAAAAAACCATAAAGAGAGAATTTTAAAAGAAGGAATGAGCGTACATATGCTAAACAACATTACTTCTGAAGATGGGTGTGTACATAAAAGTATTAACCTAAATAACTAAAGCCTATTGCTACAAGAATAGATGGGTGCAAACTACTTCTAAGGATTTAACCCCTGAGAGTTTTGTGGAGCTTCATCATCTGTTCTGAAATTTTTGTCTAGTTCTTCCATGTACAGTAGCCCCCAAAAAATCAGAGCCCCTGATCTGGTGGGGGAGGGGAAGGGGGTAAGGGGAGGGTAACTGAGTATCTGGGCCAAATTTTGGTTCTCTGCTAATAACAAGATGCCATTTTAATGCATCTTACTGCAGAGGGACTATAACACACAAGAAGCAGGCAAACCACTTAGATGCCTATTCTGCCTTCAGTAAGTATAGGAGTTATGCAGCTTTACTTTCTATGCAAGGAGAAGGGGATAGACTTAAGCTTTATATTTTTTATGATAGGAAATAAATCTCAGGGAATAGCATCAAAAACTAAATTCTGGTTTTGAAAGCACTTATACCTCATGATTTCTAAGGGGTTGGTGATGCAAAACAAGCCCAACCTGATTAGCTTTATGGTCAGTTCAAGAACTTGAAGGCTCTGACCTACCGGGAGAAAGGCAATTACTTGAATATGAAATACAGACACCTGGACTACAGTCCAGATTTTGTAACACCTCTAAGTATATGGGGGTTGCAGGTTATAGGTCTAGCTGAGTTAGGCTCTGTTGCTGCCACCCACTGTCAGCAAGGCATAAGAGTATCCCATGTCAGCAATGGATTTCAGTAACAAATGCAGTTAAAATGGTGCTCAGTTTGGTTTAGCTGCAATTGTAGCCAACTTCAAACCACATTTCAAGCCTTTTTGGACACCCAGTGCCTTTGAAATCCTCCAGGGAGTAGGAAGCTTCACAGAGGGAATCTCCCTCTTAAAAAATAATAAAGCAAACTTATTTACATATTTTAATTGCTTACCCATGGTTCTGAAGAGCAGGAATGGGAGCAGGGAAGTGCCCTTCACTCCCCAGGACTCCCAGCCTGAGGCCAAGGGAGCAGCAGAAGTGACAGGTGGGAAGGGGCTCCTTATTCTCTGACCTGCTCCTAGTGGCAACATGTAGAGGTTGCACAGGGGTGCACATGCACCCCCTGAGGTCGCTGGTGCCCCTCCCGACAGGCAGCATTCCCCACTTGAGTGACGGGTGGGGGGAGGCAGGAGCAATGGTGCCCCCCTGAGGGAGCCGGCCGGGGTGTGGGGGTGCTAGGAGAAGTGCTGCTGGCCCTTCCAGGCATGTCCCTGGCTTTTGCAGATCCCTGGCACTTCCAGATCAGCACATGTGACCCATGGGGGGACCCTCTACCCACCCCCAGTCGGCACAATCAGCACAGGGGAACCCCCTCCCCCCGGTCACTGACTGGCCACTGGGGAGACAAGTGCCCCTGCAACTCAGGATGCACCAGTGGGCTTGGGGGGTGACAGCCACCTCAGTGCCACTGACCTCCTGCCTCCCTATCATCAACATTTTCTCCTTTTCTTGTGATCCTTTGGAGGACACCCCCAGTCCTTCAAACACTAGGTAGCTGATCACAAGACCCACACCTGGGTGCCTCTCCTAGCCTCCATATGGGGGAAGTCCTGCTCTTGAGGACTGAACCAAATGGCAGATGGTGACTGTGGCTGAAGGAGATTTGGCAACCAACTAAGATCTCTTGAGGTTTTATGGTTTGGTTGCCCACCCTACTGAACCTATTAGGGTATGGAGGAACAGAGCTCCTCTCCAGAAGATTTTGGGACCCTTATTTTTAAATCTGAGCCAAATGTAACAATCTTTGTTATGAAAAAGTTAAAGTTACAGGTACATTTCAGTGGTGTGAGTGCTTGAAATGTAGAATTCAATTTGCAATCCTCAAACAAAGGATCAAGAAGACTTTACCTTTGGCTGCATAGAAGCCTACCCTCCTCCATTCTTTACATGTACTGGTAGTTCCACAAATCTGCATCACAGAACACAGGTTTTATATATAAACTGTCTCGTACAACCTTTTGTCTGATACTGAATGAGAACCCTTTTTGTCACATTACTTATCTTTGCTCTTCTTACACAAATTCTTTAATATGAATATGAAGTTTGCAAATGAAGAGATGTCAAAAGACACTTGGAAAAGAGGAGGTTATGCTGCATCATCCTTAGCTTGTGGGTATCTATAGACACCTGTAGTGCTCCAAATGAAAGACAAGCACCTGACTTCATTCTGGACAGAGTTGAGAATAATGGTTTAAAAACAACCCAAAGTAACTGTTGTTAAATGGCCACCTCATCAGTTTGGGATGCCCCATTGAGCTGAAATATAGCAGAACACAATATATTTAATGGTATTTTCTAGATCCTTACCTACTAGATCCTGGCCGGCCAGGTACAGTGAGCATTTGGGATACATTATCAGAGGGTAGCTGCAGAGGAGGGTGACTTTTCTCTTCTGCTGGAGCCTCACCTTGGGCATCCGCATCCTTGATGCTGACAATGGGGTAGGTAATTGATGATGGCCCTTGGAAAAAAAAGAAACATATAAAATGAATCAGAAAAGGAAAAAGGAAACATTTGCAACATGTTTTTTGGCTCAACATCAATATTAGTCAACCCACAGCCATCAACTTCCAGCCTTCATTTGTGCCTCTACTTATTTATATTAAAAGAACATTCAGTAGCCTTCAGTTTGGAAAAACTCCATAAAATTCATAGATAAGGTCTGGGCTGCTCTAAGGATGGTTTAGAAAGAAAGATGTATTAAGTTAGTTATTCGGTAGGTGTAAATCAGCATGTGTCCATTGAGTTCAGTGTCCTCCCACCTGAGAATCTGGCCTATGAAGCACAAGAAACTGAGTTAACATCTCTCAATATTATCTTCAGTGGAGACCTGTATCATAAAAAACAACATCTCCTTGTGTTTTAACTTATTTTGTTTATTTATCTGTCACACAAGAGACCACAATGAACCCTTGTTTATATTTTTGCATCAGTTTATTCATTTCTTTTTTTTTAACAGATAAGCAAAAAAGCCAGAAAATGCGTGGGTGCTTTTCTTATACTCTCAGACTTTGCAAATATTTTTTTCTTTTAAACAAATTGAATAATTTGCTCCACATTATGGAAAAATATATTCTGAAGTCACTACGACTATCAGTGTCATAAGTAAAGTTTCTTACATCAATGTGTACATACATGAACTCATAAAGTTTCCTAATAGGTGCAACACCATAATTGCATCATCTTAGTTTGGATTTCAAATTACATCACAGCACACACTTATACCACACAAGGAAATATTTAAATGATAACCTGACAGGGTCTCCCTTTTTATGAGGTGATAACTACTTCCTGGGCTAAATAAAGGTAATGGCTGAAGGCTGAGATAATAAAGAGAAAATAAACTCAAAGGCCAAGAGCACAGGGAACTACGTAATTGAAAAAAAGAAGTTCAGCTTGGAGTCTAGGGCATGTGTAGATGAAACAGGGGCCTTAAATTGAAGCAGTGGGTTTTAAAAAACACCACTTCCATTTAAGGCTGATTAAACCCCTTTGTCATGCACACACCCCGCTGACTTACCTGCCTATCCAACAGGGAGGGGAAGGCAAGCTGCCAGCGGGTGGAGCAGTCCCTGGGCTGTGGAGGGGCTGGTGCTTCCCTCTGTGGCAGTGGCGCCCTTCCCCCGTGCCAGGCGGCACCTGCCCACAGGCACCTGGCTCAGGTGGTCCCAGGCACCGCAGCCATGGAGGGAAGCACCAGCCCCCCGCGCAACTCAGGCAGGCAGGCTTGGGGGGTGGGAATCAGGCTCGCCACTTCTCTTGGGCGGAGCCGCTTTCCTGGGTTGCTGTCAGGCTGCCTGCAGGGCTTCCTGCAGAGCCGCATGGAGCCCCATGCTATGCTCCGTGGCTGTAGGGGCAGCAAACTAAAACTTCTTGAAGGAGTTTTAGTTTGCTGCACCCCAAGTCATTTAAGGTGCATTATACCATCGAATTTCCTGCAGCAGCTGGAATTTAATGCACAATACACTTCAGAGGCATGCAAACACCGACACCATTAAAGCAGTGCAAAAGCATTTAGCCAGCTTTAAAGTGTCGTGCACACATGTCCCTCATTTTGTCTACACACAGCTCTAATGTCTAGTATCCCCACATTCTGACTGGCTGAGGCACTTACTCTCATTATGATATGTAAAATCACAGCCCATGAGTAAGTCTTTGATATTTTCATTTACAGAGGGTGAAACTCACCCCTGAGCTGTGCACCACTTATGCTGGGTGAACTGCCTTCGCACAGGGCAAGAGTCACCAAAAGGTATAAAAGCATTCACAGACACACACGCTCCAAACCCTTGTTGATTACTATATGACCGAGTTTGCTGAGCGGGACAAAGCAAACACACACAACAGAGAACATTAGAATGACATTAAGAGGCAAATTCTGCCATACTTAATCAGACAGAAAGGTATTAATGTGGTTCTAACAAATCCAGCCCAGGAAGATTAGAAAAGCACCAATTCACATTTGTGGACTAAACTGTTTATAAGAGGGAACAAGAGTCCACTCTCCCATTCCCTCGCTCTCACTGATTAGCAAGAGGGTTCATGCATAATAGAGATGTACTCCTTTATCTGAAGGTTTTCTTTTGGGATTATTTAGCAGGGAGAGGGTTTTACTTCCAACCCAGACATCCCCAAAATGCACTTTGAAACCACAGTCATTCTAATACTGTGCGTTAACACAAAATACATTCCATATTAAAAAGCTGGTTCTTATTGTATTGCTATGTTGCAATAGAAGAACATGGTTAAGGAAGAGGGAAAAAAAATAGCAACAGAAAGGATGCACAGAGATCAAGGCCCCCACACAAAGCAGTGCAAGCACATCATAAAAGCCATAGGTTCTACTACCCAAGGGATGAGGAGGGGGCTGTTCCTCTCTCAAAAAATTGGGGTTCACCACACCAGCCTTTCCCTTTCTGGTGATGAGGATGGGGATGCGTGAGGTGGTGGAAGACTGGTAGCTGGGAACATTGGGTAACTGCTCTACTATGCTTTGGGAGAAAGGGGAGGAGCTTCTGCGGTCAGGTGGCTTGTCATGCACCAGGCGGTTTAACTCAACGTCTTTGGCTTGCTTGGACATGGTGCTAGGAGCCTAGGCACTTCAAGCAAGGGACAGCGCATCTGAAGCTGCAACAAGAAACACAGAATCATATGAGAGAGTGCTGCTTAGTTAACAAGAAATACAATGCTCAGATGAGCTTTCTTTCAGTACTCACAAGTGTGGAGTGTGGTGGCAGAGTGATTACAAAGTCCCACTAGGGCCCCAGAGGGTCCAACTGGAGAATCACTTCAAGCTTATGCCAAAGGTCCTCTCCAACTGACCCAGCTGTAAATGGATACCTGACCATTTTGGCTGAGTAGTTAAGGGCAGGTGGTAGCGATGATAGCCACAGCACTCCCTGGTGTGCCACTGGCATACTTTAACCACACTAACCTGATAGGCCACTAGGCTCTGGTGAATCTCTGGCCTTTTGCACTCTCAGATGTGAAAGATAACACCACCAGGACAGTTGCATCTTACCAGGCTGGGCCTGCATCCTGACATTCAGCAACCTCCTGTTTCACTACTGAGGCTCTTTTCCACAAAGACTGATGGACAGAATCAGGCATGGTTTTGTGACGGTGTTCACAGCATTGACAATTGACAAGCAAGGAATCAGGCTGTCCAACCACACACATTTCTCTTGTGACTCAAACAATGCTCTCCAGAAGTGAGAGGGTAAGTAACATCTTCCATGGCTTTAATTGTTCTGCCTGCCCCCAAACTTACATTTTTCACTTTAAGGCTGCTTCCAATCTAGTCTCTCATTTACAAATTCTGCAAAATATGAAATGCCCAGTCTCCAAACCACAAGCCATAATGGAAAATGAATTGTGTTAGTCCAGAGATCAGACATACACCTTCCTTCTTATAATCGAATGGAAATTGATCCTTCCCACAGATAAGTGGAGGCCCAGTGTTTAAAAGAAAAATCATGGGACAATTTGGCAAAAATGTCTATAAATTCTAGATGCTTCTATTTTTGGGTGCCCACTACGGGCACTGACAACTGCTATCAGTTCTCTCTTTCTCAGTATGTTAGGGCAATATGAGGGCTGCTGTAACCTGCATCAACTGACAACAGTCCACAAAAGACTGCTTGCCAATTTTGGACAGTTGAGCACAGCGCATTCTAGCCAAGCCTACTTCCTGCCCCAACATCTGTTCCAGGGTCTATGCAGGGATGACATGCCAGTTCTGGTCCCAGTGCAGACTCCCTCACACAGCTGGAATCCCAAGCAAGGGAGATCAAGTCAGGTTCTCTCCTATTCAGGCTGCTAAGGGGAAGAAATGGAAAGGGGACCAAAGAGAACTTGCACCCACAGTTCATGTAGGGGCTAATTGCTACTGGGCATGAATGCTGATTGCTTCTGATTTTGTGTAGAAAGGAGAGTTTAGGAGAATTATACTGAGAATATCCTTTGGGAAAATTTTATCTAAATGCAAAAGTCCCTTGTAAGATTTGAAGATCTTACTGCAAGGTGTATGTGCAACTTAAGCAATATATAAGTGCTTCTAAGTTCTACCCACAGAAAATACACATCTGTTGACTCATAGCATTGTTGCTGAATTGTCAGGTTTGTGCTAAGATTATAATAATAATGTAATATTAAGCATATCTGCAAGAACACACTGAGCAGTTAAAAGCAACTCTCAGAAATGAAACAAGGCTATGGGTCAAATCATCCTTTGAGTAATTCCAGAGACTTTGAAGAAGCTGTACTAGAAATAAACACAGACCTTTGAATTATGTTCCCATTAAATTCCACTTCTAATTTTTATTCAGTCATTCCTAAAACTTTAAATTAAAATACATTTTACAAAACAAGTTATTCCCCAAATTGAATGAGGGAACAGAGAAATTTTTTTTTTCTCCTTCTCCATTTCTTCCTCAGCTGAAGGACAACTTCTTACATCATGAGAGAGATTATTTTAATCAAGAAGATTAACTGCTGCCTAACTCTCGCCTTCCATATCTGGGTATAACCGATGGCAACTCCGCCACTGTTTCTCCCATAAGATGCTTTAAATGAGGTAAGAGAAATTTCAGAGAGCAGGCCCATCACACACAAGAATCACATTGAATAAGAATTCTAAAAGGCGAGTTTTCCTCTGATGAGCTATCTCATCGTCCCTTTTTGGTTGCTAGGAACTGGCTGCCATTATGTGTTATATATGGTACCTTCAGTATCTGTTCCAGCAGGCTCCAATTCAGGTTCTACTTGCACTTCTTCCACCTACAAACACCACCAAAACAATCAGTCCACTGTAAAAACATCCCATTCCCTTACCAAAAGTAAAACAGAAAAGCAGTATTTTATACAGGCTGAAATCTAATGCAGTTTTAGTAGCAAACTGGAAGTTAATATTACTAGAATGTTTCAGAACCTTTCCCTCTGTCAGGTAAAAAAAGACAGAGATGATCTAACATTATCATAACAGCTGTAGGCTATTTCACTAGAGAAGCCATAGACTAATTCATTCATTGTAGGGAAAAGACTTCAAGGGAAAGACATGTCAGGAGATTTGCCTGCACACACACTTTTCATTATTTTTTCACAGCAACTGTAACCAAATTTGGCCACACTGGAAATACTGATGCCATTTGATGAGTACGAAGTTTACCATGTCACCTCCACAGGATTTGCGCACAGTGCTATCTATGCATGCTGCTCTAACCTTTATGATGTTACTTTTTTTATTTCCCCCAGTAGGACAGTATGTGGGGCCATTGTTGTTTTATACAGAGAATGTTCTGACTACTTACTTCCAGTTTCAGTGCACAGAAACAGTCCATCTCCCACATTTGTTTTCCCACACTGCCTTATGTCTAAGTTCTGCTCAAAGCTCACCATGGAGCAGTACACTCCTAAGGACTGATATTGTGAAATTAAGCGACTTTCCTAACATCACTGAAGTGACTGAGAAAACTGAACAAAGGACATATAAGTTAGCCTGGTGCCATGAATATGACTTGGGTCTTGTTTTTCTTGACTATTTAATTGCAGAGACAATACAAGGATCTCCCACATTTCTGGTGCTGCAGAATGCGATACAAGTGCTAAATGAGAATGCAATGACACCAAAGATCCAACATCCAACACAGAAGAAATTCCTGGATACTTTACAGGCTGAGACACATCATGGAGACAGCCCTACCAACCAATTAAAAAAGACTTCCTCAAGGCAATGGATAGAGTTTATATCTCAGCATTCATTTCACTGTAACTCTTTGCAACTTTTAGCACAGTCACTCAACAATGTACTGATGACTATATTTGCTGGAGTAGATCATTTTGTATTAAAGTGGCTGAACTCATTCCCATTTGAAAGGACCCAGATAGTTATAATGGACAATTACTCCAAAAGCCTTTAAAGCAGGGGTGTGCAATTATTTTGGTTGGACGACCGCTTAACAACTTTTGGTGAGCTGTCAAGGGCTGCAAGGGTAGCCCCACTCCTTGACAGGTGCCCCACCCCCTGGTCACCATCTTGGGACCAGAAGTCCTGCGCCTAAGACCTGACCTTTGCCAATATAAGTCCCTCCCCTTGGCCCTGGAAGTACTCCTTTTGGGAAGGGGGTTTGCTATCTTGGAACCAAAAAAAAACAAATCATATACTAAAAATCAAACATCTGCTATAACACATTTTAATTTTATTTAAAAAAAAGTGTTTTCCTGATTTATGTATGTTGGCTTAGTGTATATAAAGGCAATTGCATAATAGCTCAAATAAAGTCCTGCATAATAGTTCAAAATAAAGTCCTGCTCTTATACATTGTGTGTGGGGAAGTGTGGCGTGTGGCTGGGGCGTGGGTGTGTGTAGGGGGGTGAGCTGAGGATGAGGTGTAGGTGTGGGGTGTCGGTGTGGGGTTTGTGGGGGGAGTGGATATGGGGCTTGTGGGGGAATGTGGGTATGGTAGGGTGTCTGTGTGAGCCCTCTGCCACATTCCCCCCACATGGTGCACAGCTCCCGCCACCAGTGGCAGCAGCAACAGGTGGTAGGCTTTGGGGTGCTTATGGCCCACAGCAGACAGAGCACCCTTGGCAGGACTGAACAGACACTTTTTCCCCATACAAGGGGCAGCAGCCACAGAGGTTATTTGAGTCACCGCGTCACAGTAATTCAGCTACTTTTCCCTGCAGAGTCCTTTCTTAACATAAACCAAATTACCATGTCTCCACAGGGATAATCCTTCAACTGTTTCTGACCGTGGATCTCAATCTGAGCACCTGAATTACAACGAAAAGATACATTTTCCTACCTTTATCAACGGGTCTTTGACCTCAGTCACTTGCTCTTCTTCTATCTGGTAAACATCTGGAGCATCATTGAACTCAATTGGCTGGTCATCTTCTGGCTGGCAAACATCTGGAGCAACACTGAACTCAATTGGCTGGTCATGTTCTAGCTGGCAAACATCTGAAGCAGCAGCGCTGAACTCAATCACTTGTTCTTCTTCTATATGGTAACTATCTGGAGCAGCTACTGCAAAAGAATGCTCACCCACGTCCTCATTAAAAATAATACAAGAGTGAGGCAGGAATCTATAGAAAGCAGAATAAAGGTAGTGAAATATTACAGGAAGTGTGCTGTAGACACAGGTCATCATAGCACTGTGTATCTGCCCACTGGGCAAAGATTTTTAAATGTCAAAGTTGAAAAGCCGTTGCTTTACTAAATCCTGCTTATAGACCAGAAAGGATATGCAAGTATACCCCAGATGTAGGCAGTGGAATTGAGGGGCTGAGTCTTAGGGCCCAGACAGGTAGGACATTTATGCTGGTATAGTTTATATGTTTTGTATATCAGGGTAAATTTATATCAGTGTCCAGAGCAGACAGAGGAACAGCCAGATTTCAGTACAGTAGACCCTATACTGCTGTCGCTGTACCCACCACAGGGAGTAACCCATGGACACGTGACCCCTGCACTGCCATAAACTTATGCCAGATTTTTAACCAAATCTTTCATGGGTAAATTCTACATCAGATCCAAGGCAGTTACCACAGTATCGGCATTTATGTCATCTCTGCATTTCTTGTTTATATCTGTGTAAAGTAAGTTATACCATTGCAAGTCTGTCTTGTGTACAGGCTCTTATTAATTGCTGTTGTTAAAAGCAACCACAACACATTTAGCAAATTGGAAAGCCTTCTCTACACATAAGGGCTATTCATTGTTTACTGCACCTGTCTTCTGGCACAAACATGCAGCCTTTTACTACAAATAGATCAACCTTGATTTAACATACGTGCTATAAAGTTAACTACCATGATTGAGGAGATTGACTTAAGATGTTGGAAAAAATATTAATTGGTCAAAGTAATGTAAAATATGCAGGTCATGAGCAGGAAAATGAATGTGCCTTGTTAAATATTTCTAATTTAATTAGGAACCACCAAATAAAAAGCTGGAAGCCAAATGTTCCAGCAGCAAGACCTGCAAATATCACCCCATGTTTGTGTGGCGAAACTAGTAAGATGGCAAGTGCTGCTTATTTTCTGTTCTCAAAGGCCAACTTCAGCACCCAAATACAGAATCTGCAAGTCCTAATCTACTATCCATTGTTGACAAACAGGGCTCACAAGATAGATATTATTGCTTTAACAGGACTTTAATGAGAAAAAAAAATGGTCCCTTGGTGCTTGATGATCATTTTTCTTAATGTTTCTATAGCTTTAATAAACAAATTACCCTGGAATCAGTTGCTACTTGGAAGAGAAGGAGAAGAATGAAGAAAATACATCAGAAAATAGCTGAGTATTTGAAAACCTAAAAGTCACACTATCGCATCTAAGAATAAATGTTCTCACTGCATCTAGTGAAAAAAATGTTACTTCACAGGACTTTTCTTTTATCTTTTGATTTATTAGAAACTCTCCCCAAACCCAATCTCAACTCTTTTCATCCTATCTTAGGCAACACAACCATCCTCTCTCTCTCTTTTCTAGTAAAAATCCCAATACATTGAGTGTTGAAACAATATCTCAATTACCATAACTGAAATTATTATAAACTGAAACTAAAAACCCCAGAGAGGATTACAGAAGCATAGAAAGCTCAGTAAATTACAGCACAGTAGAAATTAAAAGCAGGTTTTGACACAATAATCAGCAAAAAGATTAAACACTGATCAATCATGCATTTTCTGCTTCCATCTGAGAATCTGGGCATTCTATTTTTTTAGGCAAAAGGCAGAGTACAGCATTCGGATGCTAGTATATGACATTCTAAATGTTTACAAGCAAGTGAAACCAAAGTAAATTAATCAATTAGGCAAAAACGCTTCCTAAGCACCAGTTAGCCCAAAGATACTATTTCTAATGGTTATGGGCATCTCAGTAATTTTCTCCAATAGAAAAATGATTTTAAAATTCACCTACTTGTATTACAGTATATTTGCAGATACAGCACACAATCTCATCTTTAAACCCAGCTTCATAATATTCATAACGTTCCTGAATACATTTAGTTAACATACATGTTTTTAAATAACCGGGAACCACTTTGAAACCAAGATTTTTCTCCCTCGTTTTTGAAGTCTACAGATTAGCTGCAAATCCTGTTTTCTGTTAATCGGATTGAGCTGCTGTGTGGACAGCTTCTCAGAACCCCCTCTGGAAGCAGGCAACAGTGTAGGGACCAAAGGACTGTGTTGCTAGGGGAAGCTGAGCAGTTGCTAAGAAAGAGAATGTGTCGCTAGGAGACACTTGCTGGTTACTAGGTACCGTACGTCATCAGAAAGTCTTTGAATAAGCCAAGTTAGTTAAAACATCCTTTCCTGGCTCATCTCTTAAAACAGTATTGCCCTCTAGACAGAGATGTGTGTATGCACTGTGAAGATCATATCCACTGTCATCAGGAAAAGACCAAAAATTCAGGGCACATTTAAGCTAAACTCCAACGTCATTCAAATTCCACTGAGAGTTAAGTGTAAACTGCATCTGTTAACTGGTGTTTGTGCCTTGAAACTTCTTAGCAAATATGGAAATAAATGGTGTTGCTCTCTCTAGAGTAAATGCAAACAGTTTTAGTCAGCTGCTTGTTGGTGCATTTCAAGGTCAGACTTAGTTCACACAGAGCAGACACTTGGAGCAAATCATGTCACCATTTTCCCATCATGGCTGTAAATCTCCTCTAGTTCAAGCAAAACAGTTAACCCATGCAAATAACCATGAACTCAAACTTGAATCTTGCCTGTGGTTCTGCTATAAAAAAATCAGCTCTGTGAAACCAAAGTTTATTTAAATCTGAGCCTTTTTAATTCCATGTCCTGACAACTCACATAGGATCATAGGAAAGCAGGGTGGAAGGGATGTCACAAGGTCATGTACTTTAGCCCTCTGTTCAGCCTGCTCTTGAAAATTTCCAAGGACTCATATTTCACAACTTCCCTAGACAGCTTGTTCCAACGTTTGACCACCCTCATAGTCAGAAAGTTTCCCCTAATCTCCAATCTCAATTTCCTCTGCTGTAGCTCAAGGCCATTGCATTGGGCAGCTGCAGCAGGCAGGCTGCAAACAGCTGTGCCGGGCTCCACAGCTCTGGCATCAGCTCTATGCTGGCAGTGACTGCGCACACACCTCAGGGCGGATTGCACAGCCCTGCTGTCTGCCCCGGGTCTGGGTAGCTGCTGCCAGCTGGGAACCTGGGCTGGGGAGCAGGGGCTTTGGGTGGGGGCAGGAGCAGCAGGGCTGGGGGGCACAGGGCAGCAGTGCTGGGGGGCAGGGGCTTTGGGTGGGGGCAAGGGGCACAAGCAGGGCATTCTGCCATGTACCCCCTGCCTTCATTTTGTTTTTCTAGCATGCTGGTACTCGGGCACCTTCCAAGGGAGGCATTGTGGTGTTTTTCGGGACTCCCGCCAAAAAATGTTGCCTACCCCTGCCCTATGGTCACAGACAAAAGCCCATCTCTATCCTTTCTATAATCACATTTCTGTTATTTGAAATATTTACAATATTTACAGTCATTTTGATATGTTGCTTATGAGCTACTTCTCATTAAAAGATAAAAACATTTCAAGTGAATCTTGAAAGAATTCTTACAACTCTGAACACCACTTACTTTGCAGTCTTGGTTTCTTCCTCCTCGCTACCATTCTGGAAATAGGATGTCTGCAACCTTATAAGGGAAGTATTTTATGGTCAATATAATGTATGGATTTTGAATTTCAGGTGGCTATTTGAAATTACACTCTATGGATGTAGACATTTCTGCCAAGATGATGTAGGCAAGAGGAAGATATGTATCACCTCAAAATCTCAAAAGAAACATTTGGAGATGACTGACTTGAGAATATTGGCTAGGCTTATTTCACAGTATTTCATGGCAGGTACTAACATGTGGGGGGAAAAAAAGAATATCTACAAAAGAATGATGTAAAATGTTAAAGAAATATAGGGAAAAACCATATTGGAGACTTCAAATTCTATTTGCTCTGCAGGAAGACTTCTCTCTTCCCCTCTTCCCCATCCCAACCTTTTTTTTTTTTTTTTAAACAAAACCTCCTACTGGAATTCATGCTCTAGGGCAGGAAATTGCTGACTGGCTGTGTGGAATGCTAGGTTTCCTTCCAGGACTGTGTATTAGGGGAAAAAAAGCCTGTGTAACGAATGTTCATAAATCCATTTACCTTTAGTAGGGTGGAAGGAAGCACCAGTAAACAACAACAGAAGGAACAGAGCTCTGGGAATCATTTTATGTTAGCACAGTTGCTATTTATTCTAAGGAAAACTAATCAGCAAGAAGGAATGAGCTTCAGACATGCAGAGCAGCAGTATTTATCCAGGGCCTGGAGGCTGAATCCACTTGTAAAAGACAGTCTTTTACTTCTGAGCTAAATTCTCATGCATAGTTCTAGGAACACCAGAGTTGTTATCCCAAGTCAGCGTTCCCACCGGTCACCCCCTCCCACCTCCAGTCCTGTGTACCTTACTGTGCAAACTACAACAGCCAGAATCCATGATGGGAGCTTTACCCCTTCTTCTGAAGCTAGTGGCTAGTGTCAGTCAAGCAGTGGACAAGGTAAACCACTGGTCTGTGTTGATACAGACTGGCGATGCCTTCTGGAGTCTGTTTAGCCTGCCATGCTGGCAAGCAGCCTCCCAGAGGAATGTTGACTGAGTTAGCCAGAAAGCCTTTCAGGAAGCCCCAAAATACACTGACTCCTATCTTTCAGCCAACAAGCTGCTCAACTCCCTCACTGTGTCACATTTTAGCTGCTAGCATAGAGTAAGCCACACACCTATTTCCTAAGTGCACACAGAATTGCTGACATCCTGTGGCCAACTAGGCTCATCAACTAGTTTCCTTCTCTATGTACAGCTTCAAACTATAGCTTGTTGATACTCCAAGAGATAGATCCCACACCCAGTTTCCTGCTCAAAGGTGGAGCACTGATCAATTCTCCAGAGGTTATCCTACCACAGCACATAGCACAGACACTGTGCCTCCTTTTTCTAGACTCAGCTTGCGATTCTTCTGAAGGTGATACCCATCATGATATTAACCTTATGCACAGAGTCAGGTAAAACGAGCAGGATTTAGCCATCAAAGTCATTTCCTTTTCCTGTCACTCCTGTGAGGAACCTCACCTTGTCCCTCAGGATAAGAAAGGAACACAACCTCAGACTCCTTCCCATAACCAAATTCCTGATTCCACAGACCTGATCCCTCTGATAGGCCAGGCTGAACTCCTGCTGCACAGGAGAACAGATTTCCTTCCTTCATATTCATATCATATAGCTCATAATGTGAAATCCTGGTGCAGAGCATTTCTGTTTGAAAATCTCTTTTATAGGATCAGAATCTGTGACCACAGGGGAGCCAACTGTAGCCAGAATATTCAGCTGGGCAATGATGTTTTATTGAAAACCTGAAATTCAGCAATTGAAAATCTCTCCTCACCTGTAAATTCTTTTAGAGGGCTCAAAGGCACTTGTACAATATACAACAGCCTATGGAAGCATATTAATAGCTAAAAATTTTTTGGCCGGAAAATGTTATTTACTGTTTTTCAGATGCGTAACTGCTGAAGGTTAACAATCAAGTCCTTCCAGCTTCTTAAGCATAGTTTCAAATCTGGAGACTGGAGCCTTCCACGAGAGTGAGGAGAAGATGAGTTTAGTAACTCTTTAGTTATACTGCAGTGTAAGTATTTGATTCTGCTCCACTAAAATCAATAACAAAACTGAAAAGCTGCAGGATTGTGCAGGGACATTGGTGGACTCATCCTTGCACTTATCTAGGAGTAACTGAACCACAATATAGCTCAATGTGTCTGAGATTCTGCACATCTGACATATAGTTGCCTGAAGGTACGAGAGCCCAGAAATGACATGTATTAGAATAAATGCAAGGCAAGCTGGCACAGCAGTGTCTTTGCTACCTATTCAAGTAGTTTGTACCCAGAAGGACCCCAAACCTCTTTGCACTTTGCAGAAATGGGTCTCTGAACTTACCGCTGAGCTGCAGGTACCTCTGGGGCTGGACACACATACCAGTCACCACAGACAACCCTGTAAGTGAGAGGGTTTTAGGAAGAGATTGAGATAAATGATATGGAGAATGGGCCAGGCATTGTCAGTGATGATAACAGCACTTTAAGAACATGTTGCAAGGGACCCAACCCCTCCTGCTTCAGGTAATAAGTCCACCTCCAACTACTAGAGGGTAGAAAGAATCTTTCTTCTTAGCACAGATGGTCTCATTATTGCCTACACCAGTTTGTTACAATACCCTCTCAAACAGCTGGTGCTGGATCCCATCTGAGACAGAATACTGCACTGGATGGAGCTCAGTCTGGCATTTCCTGTGTTCTTTTCATCCAAATCTCACAGAAATTGGAAGGAAAGCCAATTGCTTGTTTTAGTAACTCTGGGTCCTTGCAGTGCATATCACTTTTATAGCTAGTTGTATAAATCACCAGCTGCTAAGTAACCCACACAATATATTGAATGGATGTAAGGAAAGAACAAAACACATATGGATCATATTCCACCCTCTGAGTCCTCCACATTGGAGGGCTTGATTCCTTATAATATAGGATCTGACATACAAGGTGGCTTTTCCAGTATGAGCTTTCTCTTCTTACCTCTCTTCTTCCTCCTGAGTTTCCTCTTCTATTGAAGGGAGAGGAGCAGAAGACAGTTTAAGTTCCATCTCAGTGTCACAAGGTTTCACCTCTTCTAGAACTTCATTGGATTCAATGTCTTCAATGGCAAGTTTGGTCTCTCCCTGCTCCTCAGGGAAGATACAAACTGTAGTGGGAACAGGGGAGGAAGCAGTGAAATGAAGGCAGCACATTCATTACTCAAATCCATCTACATTATTTTTTAAAGTTCTCAACATTTAATACAAATATTGCTCAGCACAGGGATCATCAAATACACCAGACTGCCAGCATATCCCAGTGTTCCCCAACTTTGTATCACTTTCAGCCCTGTTGGAGCTGCAACAGGTGTTCCTAATGAGTGTACACTTGGCCAAAATAAAAATACCATAAAAATATAGGTTTCTCTACATTTATACATCTTACTACTGGATGAAACCCTGTGACAGAGTAAATTGGAGTAGAACTGTTGACTTTACGGGAGCCGCACTGATTGACATGAGGATCTGGCCCATCCATCTCTAAGCCATAGTCTGATTGCTCTTACATGAGCAATGTAGGAAAGGACCCAGAAAGCTCTTGCCCCCTTGCACTCCAGTGCAGGAATGGCCACAGCACCATCCTGGAAACTGACCCCAGTGTAGAGACTGGAACTGGGGCTCAAACAAGTCTTCTCTGCTCCTTGTTATAACATCTTCTCCCATAGGCCCAGGCTTATTCTCCCTGTGTTCTCAGCAAGCAGAATACCATCAGGAGCTGTTAATGATGTACATGTTCATGCACACCTGTGACATAAGCACCTGCTGAAGTCATGAGCTATCCCCAAGTAGTAATTAAGCCTGTAACATGGCATTCTACACTGCACACAGTAACTACCTCTACAGCCCAATCATTTACCAATGCTGCAGGGAAGTACATGGGGGACCACATTTCTGGAAGGGTCATCATGGGTCTGCTCCGAAGCCCAGTGAAGTCAATGAGATTCCTCCCATTATCTTCAGCCTCCATTAGGTCAGGCCCACTCAGCCATTCTTATCTCAGATACATGCTAATTGCATGCAAGAAAAACAAGAGGAAGAACTAAAACTACCCAAATCAGGTGTTATAAAAAGAGAAGGGATTTTTGGGGTCCCACTAACACCACAAAGACTACAAAGAGTTCAACAAGAAAGAGTAGACATTTAAAAATACACAAAAATAGAAAAAAAGACATTTGTGATCAAAGCTTGGATTTTATTTTTAATTCCAATACACATTCACTCAACACTACCCCAGGTGGCATTGTACTAATGCCACACAATGTATTTAGTCAATTTTGTTCAGAAACAGTTTTTAAAATACAAAGGAGAAGAAAAAGAAGACACTTTGCTAAAAATATTGGATTTTGTTTGCTAGGGAAGATTCAGAAATGTTACTCAGTTGCCATGTAGCAAAGCACATTATAAACACACAGATAAGAAATGTTATTTCAGCTGCAAAAATAGGAACTCCTCATTATGGGTGCCTGGCTTGTTGTAAAGTAAATGATACTTGGGTGGAAAAGAGTACCTAATCATAGTAATAGAAAAGTAGGGTTAGGAGGGATCACATGAGATCAAGTCCAACCCAATGTTCTTTAACAATCCAGCCCAGAACATGCATGAGTGCATGTGTGTGCCTGTGCCTGTGCCTCTGTGTCTGTATATTGGAGGTGTTCAGTTCACACAATAGCCTCTCTTGGAATGTTTTAACTCCTGAGAGTCGCTCTGAAACTTTTTAACAGGCTAGACCAGAAAAGCTACGTTGTCTGTGGAAAAGTCACAATTGCTTGGGATACATTAAATACAGCCCTGCTCAAAGAACAGCCACAAAGCCTACGTGCCACTTAAACCTAATTTATACACCTAATATTTTCTGTTCCAGACTAGGCCCCTTCCCACTTGCTAAGTCAGAACTACCTTTTCAGTGGGAGAAAAAGAACACAAGCCTCTGATGATGAGAAGCTAGGTGCTATTTGGGTATTGTGCTAAGGTTTTCTGACAGAAGCAAATTCAAACTGTCAGCAGGTTTCAGGTGATAACATTTTGGTATGCTGTGGCTTTAAAATCATTTTAGGAATTCAGAAGTGACAGTACCAAGATCCATGCTTAGAAGGTTGTGCAAAGGATCTTTTTCAGCTCTTATACCCAGTACAAATTAAACCTTACAGCCATATTCTGAAGAATCAAAATCTCTGCCTCTGACATACCCAGACAAATCAATGTCGAGTGAAAACAGAAGAAAATGACAATACTATTGACTGGAATTGGCATTAGAGTCAGGTTCTTCCCAGTAGCAGAAATTCCTCTTCCAGTCAGCAGAGGCAGACAGTTACTGTGCGTCTAACTCCAGCCAAGGGGGCATCCAACTTCAGCTACTGAGATGTGCAGCTAAAATTCCCTTCTGAAAATGGAGCAACTGAGTTAGTTGAGCCTCAGGTTTTACTCCTGGTTTAAGTTTGGCATGGGGAGTAATTAGAAAGGAACTTGCAGATCTTTCTCTTTGTTTATACCCCCAACTGTATTTTTCTCTTCAGGTTGGTTTAATTTAATTTTGTGCAAAGATGATTCTCCCAGGTCTTCATTTTCCATTTGTTTCAGAGGCTTTAAGCCCCTTTCCCCCCTGAAACAAAAGGAGAAGGAATATATTAATAAAAATGTTTGCTGTTTTGAATTTGGAAGAAGCCTTCATGTGTCACATAAGTCTATTTAAAATACCACAACATACCAAATCGGGGATTTGACTTAAGCCAGTTACACATGAAGGGTGAAATTCTCCCCTGTACATGCAGCTGTCACAAAGTTGATTCTTTGCTTAATACCATAAAACAGGGCTTAAAAGGTGCTTAAATAGAGCATTGGCCTTGTGCTAAGCCTTGTGGACAATGATGAATTTCACCCTGAATTGAGGAGCTTTGGTTATATGATTTGCCACAAACTAGAGTCATCAGTGCTTTTTGGTGACCAGCATCACCAATCACTGACTGTTCAACAGAGAGCAAAATAGAATTCATACAACTGGGCCAGTGCTTCTCTGTATCCTGCCTAGTAGAGAGCCACAAAGAAACACACTATCATCTCAGCATTTCCCCTGTTCAAATCCCATGAGAATAATTTTTCATTTTGAGGGTTAAGGCAAAGTGGACATAGTTGCATGATAAGACATTCGATGATGTCAACATTCCACCCTACAAAATGCAGGGGAAAGGTGCAAAGGACGAATACCTCATCTGAGACATCACCTAATGTTCATAGAGCCAGACCCAAACTGAGTAAGGGAATCCAGATCTCCCCAGGAAGATCCAGTCTCCTACCTAATTCTTCTAAACTACCAATGTAGGAAAATGAACCCATGCATTGCACAAAAGTAATTTGAAACAAATCGCAAAATGTTCCTTTATATTATCTATGCAATCTATACAATATTTTCCTATATGTCATCCTGGGGAGTGACTGATTAAGCTACAGTACTGCAAAAAGGACCGAGGGGTTACAGTATACCATAAGCTGAGTATACACCAACAGTTGCAAAACAGGCCAACAGTATACTGGGTTGTATTAACAGGAGTGTCACCAGCAAATCAAGGGAAGTGATTCTTTGACTCTAGTCAGGACTAGGCACATCTACATGAGACACTATTGCATGGTAGCTCGTTGCTACTGTGCAGTAGGGCTGTGTGAAATTTCACCACCTGTTTCGTTTCGACACTGTTTTAACTAATTTTGAGCTCAAAACAGCGAAATCGAAACAAAACGAAGGGCTTCGAAACAGCTTTGAAACAAAACGAGGGCAGTTGAAACATTTCAAAAGTTTTGAAACATTTTGAGTTTTGAAGTAGCCCGACTGAGTTCCCCCATCTCCCCAGTGCTACGATTAGCTGGGGAAGGGAACTGAGCCCGATCACTCAGTTCTCCTCCCCAGCACTGCGATCCAGGCTGGGGAAGGCAACTCAGCCCAGCTAAGCTGAGTTCCTCTCCCCAGCCCTAGGATCAGGTTAGAGAGGGAAACTCAGCTCAGCTGGGCTGAGTTGCCTTCCCCAGCCTGGATCACAGCGCTGGAGAGGAGAACTCAGCCCAGCTGAGCTGAGTTCCATTCCTCAGCCCAATCCTAGCCCTAGAGACGGGAACTTGGCTGGGCTGGGCTGAGTTGCCTTCCCCAGCCCAATCAGTCACAGTGCTGGGGAGGAGAACTGAGTGATCAGGCTCAGTTCCCTTCCCTAGCCCTATGGATCACAGTGTTGGGGAGGGGAACTGAGCGATGGGACTCGGTTCCCTTCCCCAGCTCAATTGGGCTGGGGAAGTGAACTGAGCCCGATCACACAGCCCCGACAGCCATCCCGGGGTTGCAGCCCCCGATCTGCCTGCCAGATGAGAGAAGCTGGATGCTCCTGCCTGGGACTGGTGCTGTGCTGGCACCAGTCCCAGGCAACAACACCCAGCTTCCCTCCCTCATCTGGCAGGCAGATCAGGGCCCACAACCCCGGGAGGACTGGCACAGCCCCTGCAGCCCTCCCAGGGTCGTGGGTCCCAATCTGCCTGCTGGATGAGAGAGGCTGTTTCAAGCTTCCCCATTATAGCCTATGGGCGAAACTCAAAACAGCATTGAAACAGCGTCACTGTTTTGACGAAACAAAATGGAACAGAGGTTTCAAACTGAAATAAAATTCAAAATGAAACACTGTTCCATCAGCACCATTCCATTTCAGCTTGTGCTTCATTTCACGCAGCCCTACTGCACAGTAGCATTGGTGGGCACAAACCATGGCACAATGCTACTATGCAGTAATAACAAGTTACTGCACAGTAGCATCTGAAAAAACCATGCGAGAAAGCTACTGTACAGTAACACTGGCAACTGTAGTGTGCAGTCATTAAGGACTTGGTTATGCAAGTACTAAATGACTGCACAGTAACAACTGCACAGTCCCTGCTCTTGTAGATGCAGCCACTGATAAGGCCTTGCCTAGAGTACTGTGTTCAGTTTTGGTCCCCACACTTCAAGAATAGTGGCATTCTTGAAAAGAATGGAAAGAATCCAGCAGAGAGTAATAAAAAAGGCCTGGAAAACATGATTTATAAGGAAAGGCCAAAAGAACTGGAGTTATTTAACCTGAAGAAGAGAAGACTGAGGGGCAATTTGATAACCATCTTCAAATACTTGAATAATGACCATAGAGAGGATGGAAAAGGGTTTTCTCTGTGGCCATAAGGACAAGACTAGAAGCAACAGCCTCATGCTGAAGCAAAAGAAATTTAGATTGGAGAACAGGAGGAACTTTCTGATTATGAAGGTGGTCAAGCATTGGAACAGGCTACCTAGAGAAGCTGTGGAATCTCCATCCCTGAAAATTTTCAAGAGCAGGTTGGATAGACACTTGGCTGAGATGGCTTAGTCAGAGATGATCCTGCCTTGTGCAGGGGACTGGACCAGGTGTCCTTGTGAAGTCCTTCAGTTTTGCCATGTAACATTCAGGTGGCATTATCACACCTGATATCAAAGCATTCTTTTGTAGTATGTCTGCTTTGTGCAATCAGCCATGACAGAAATCACCTCACTTTTTATTACAAAGCTGTGATGCACAACAATAGTAGAGCAAGGCACAGACATAACTAGATTCTGTAGTGCAGTGGGCAGCAGAGGAAGACCTAGCAGTGAGGCACTGGAATAAAGGTGAGGGGTGGGGAAAGGTGGGGGAAGGGGAGGGGAGGGGAGGCTCCAGACTCCAGCCACTATGGGCTGTCAGTACAGAATTGCCAAAAGCCATGCCAAACAACAATATAAAAAGCCAGATTTGGCTTTGGGATTAAATACTTGGCTGCAGAGGGTCCAACCTCTGCCCTCCAGAGCCTCAACCTCTCCTGCTTCTACCCACTGACTGCTGGGTCCTAGCCATGTTCCTCTGTTCTGTGCTACTGGTAACCAGAGCTGCTGAAGTCTTGAGCAGCCCCTACTTCTGTTCCAGTAATCCGACTTAGTCAACACCTGAGGCTCATGTCCCTGTGACCCACAACTAGCTACACTACTAGTGAAAGGTTGTAGTTAAGGCTACATACTCTGCCTGTCAGTCTCACTAGGGACCCCAAATATGTCACCTATTACAAGACTTATTTTCTTCCTAGTTGTGCAGAAGATGTCTTTGTCTGGGCACCTCAAGCTCCCAAAGGCATGACCTCAAACCTGATGAGTGAACTTAAAAGAGGTGGTTTGGAAGGGGCTATAAGTGTATATCTGATCCAAATTCCAATAACCTTTAAGGACTTGGAAAATTCCTTCTGGCATAACCCAATTATGCATGTAGATAACAAATTCACTCAGAAATTGTGTTTTAAAGAGCTTCCAACAGCACTAAGAAAATCACAAGGCTTCTCAGTTTGGGACATTCTCCACATTTGGAGAAGATACCCCCAAAATACAAGTCTCTTACTAAGAGAGTCAGATAAAGGAAAGGCTTGGAGAGTCACAACAACATCCCAAATCTACAAGCAAGCTTTCATGAGAGAAAAGGTTGATACTGATCAAGAATGTATTGCAAGTCAAACTCCACAAAGTGAACTAAAAAAATGCAATGGGGACAATTTAACAACATTGTTCTCACTGCTTCCCTATCTCTCTCTCAAAGCTCTGCAACATGAAACCCAACCCAGGTCTGTTCAAGGGCATTTTCCTAACTCTGCTGCAGCCCTTCCTTCCATTTCATCTTGATCAAGAAGGTACACATCTCTGTTGAATGAAATAATGTAATGTAATGGGAAGTACTGATTACTTACTCTCCTCCACTGGGCACGCAGTTACCACTTCTCCTTCCTAACATGAAAAAAGAATAGAGTAAAATATTACTGTCATCTATTTTTCACCGATGTACGTGTACATGTCCGTGTATTACCACTATTCTACTCTCTCATCCAGTACATCTGGCAATTCAGTAGATGGCACCCTTCCCTTGTGAGTCACAACTGAACCCCTACCCCAGCATGAAGCTAGCTATGCCGTACTATTAAGAATTTTCTGTGTGAAATATAAAACCAAGGTCTTGACTATTTGCTAAAAAATGTATTTATAACACTTTATCATCTGACTAGCAGGATTCCCAAATACTGCGGGAGATAACTTTGCCCAGTCCACATAGGCTCTGCTGAAGTCTCCAGGGCTAGGCTCGTAAAAGGCCTCCTCCCTCTCCAGTCTCCACTGAGATAGACAGGACTGCACAGCAGCCCTCAGACAGTGCAGAATTCAGCACTAGGCCAGCTAACTCATCACCATGCCTACTTACACTCAGATAAAGCTGAAGCACCAAATCGTTACCCCATTAACCACTTACCGAATCAGCTTGCTTGATCACAGGCTGTGGAACCATCTTCTCCAGTTCCTGAACAAACCAGTCAAACATCCTGCCAAGCAGAAAATTCCCATTACAATTCTTTCCCCTCTCCTATTTTTTATTGATCCTTCATTTCCTTCATCAGTAGGGCATGCCGGCCCCTTAGGCCCCCCACCACCCTGCCCTGGGGCATATTTAGTGCCAATCTGTGCTCCCTGACAAGAAATGAATCCTCCTATCTACTGTTTACACTCTGAAGAGAACATCTATTAACAAGGAGGTTCCAGCAATGCTGAGTCACAACTTTGCAACATGTAAAGTGTCTCCCTTGTTAAGAGCGTCCCACCAAGCAACTACAAGGAAACATACCCTTGCATGCCAAGAGCAATGGAAAGGAC